AATAGAATGCATATAAAAACAGCCTTTGTTGATTTGGAAACATGACAGCTGGTCTTTTCCTGTCCTACTGCCATGACAGACAGAACAACAAGATTCCCAAGATGAGTCAAAGACTTCAAATTAAAACCGAACTGAGGGTTATTGAAGAATGTGTCCGTGTTCAAAACAACAAAACACAATGCAACACAGCTGTTTGGGTTTGTATTCATCCAAACAAAACCTAGTATAGCAAAGCGACACAAAACAAAAACAAAACAGCTGTTTGGACTTATGTAATATATAAAAGATCAAAACAAAACACAGCATTACAGTTTTATCTTTTTTTACACAAATGCAAGTTCAAACGAAAAAAAAAAACAGCTGTTTGGACTTATATTATATACTAAAGATCCAAACAAAACAAAAACTATAGCAATGCAACAAAAAGCTAAAACAAAAACAGCTGTTTGGACTTATATTACATACAAAAGATCCAAACAAAACAAAAACTATAGCAATGCAACAAAAAGCTAAAACAAAAACAGCTGTTTGGACTTATATTACATACAAAAGATCCAAACAAAACAAAAACTATAGCAATGCAACAAAAAGCTAAAACAAAAACAGCTGTTTGGACTTATATTACATACAAAAGATCCAAACAAAACAAAAACTATAGCAATGCAACAAAAAGCTAAAACAAAAACAGCTGTTTAGACTTTTAGTGCACATATACAAAGTCAAAACAAAACAGCATAATTGTATGATCTTGTATTACAAACATGCAAAATCAAAAAAAAAGTTTGGGGTTATATTACACATAATAAAAGATCTAAACAAAGAAACACAAAAGGAAACGAAAAAAACAATGGTTTGAGCTTATACGTGCAAAAAATTCTGACAAAATATGTCAAAAAAAGTAATTTGAGCTATTATACATACACAAAATCCAATCAAAACAAAACTAAAAAAACTACCAACCAAACAAACAAAAAAAAAGTCAGTCTGCGCTTATGTTCTTACAACAGATCCAGACAAAACAAAGCAAAGTGGGGAAAAAAAAAACCCAAAGAAGACGGTTTAAGCTTATATTATACATATGAAAGATACAGAAAAAAAAGATTTGGGCTTATACTATACATACAAAAGATCCAAACAAAAAGCAAAGCAAAAATCAACAAAAGTTTGTGTGAATGTCTAATCCCTGAAAGAACAGTATATTTTATGACCTGGATTAAGATGACTGAATTAGACTTTTTCTGCTCATCTAAAATGTTTGTGGAATGTTGAATAAAAGTGCAATGTCATTTAACGGCACAGAAGTATAACTGATAGATCATGATTCCGTCGGGGAGGATCGTTTCCTCTGAACAATTTTTTCCTCCCCTTGACAGGTAGAAGAAGACAAATGAAAAGTTAAGATGGCACGTGGAGGCGTGTTAGTGAGCCGCAACGTGTACCGTGGCACCCTGCCTTGCAGGGCATTGTGGGATATGTCCTCCACCGAAGTGGCTGCCCAGATGACATATTACAGCTCTGCGGGAAACGCATGGGCCTACAGGAGGAGGCGTTTCTCCTGCGTTCTGCAAACTTTTAATTTCGGTTGTCCTCCCTGCTGCTTTTACCCAGGTTCAGCGAGAGCCCTGCGGATGGCCGAGGCGTGTTTGCGTTGGCCCCTTCAGAGAAGGATGCGAGCCCAGAGGCCTCTTTAACGCTCCAACTTTCAACTTTGAAGTTTTCTTTGACTGCGCAGTGAAAATATTGGCGAATACAGCTGAAGCACTTCTCTTATTCGTAAATCAACTGGAGCCTTCAGAGATCAAAAGGCTGCGCCATAGCACCTTATGAAATATTCGCTTCCTCACAACGTTTACATCCTCACATTAGATAAAAGAAAACATTCTGGGAGAGGCCTCCATCCTGGTGGCAAAATCAAAGTGATTTACGCACACACACAACACTCTGCCAATAACACAACGACACAATGAGGATGTCTGAACCTGCAGAAACAAAAGAAGCCCATTGATTTGCTGTTAGCAGATCTGATGAGTGGAAATACAGGCAGAGTCTTAAGATGGCTGGATCGGTGAAGATATCGTCTCCAGTGCGACGCTGCTGTTTTCCCGAACCCCAATCTGTTGTATCATTGACACATAAATGGATTAGGGTCATGTATCACTGATAATGGTCTAGCCCAAAGAAGGTGTGTCTGCGGTTCTGGTTGTGTGTGCGCGATAAGGCCTATTGATTATGTACCATATGCAGTTCCCACGCCATCCTTTGTGCCATGTGTTCGGTGATGTGTTTTTTTCCCCAGAAAGGGGTGGGTGCGGTGCTACAGCTGGTGAGTGCGGGGTTCATTTACTCACACAGCCGATGGCCTGCAGGAGCCTGTGTGCTTCTGTCTGGAAAGGTAAAAAAAGGTGTGTTTTCGTGCAGCCGATTCAATGAGTTTCTACGAACAGAATCTGCAATCAAGACAAAAAAGACGCCACACGTTCAAGACAGACAAGTCCTTTTTAATGGATATAATCACAGTGGTTTCGAAATGAGAACTGTACAGCTGCGTTTTCTGACTGATAAGGCCACAGTGAGGAGTCCGATACAAGAGGCACGTGTGTAATTCACATTACACACAGAAAATATATTCACATTAGACGCCTGGGTACACTTTCAACATGATCAACTAAAATACCACAAGTCTGAACTACATCAATCACGATGTAACCCCCCTACCAAGTGACATCCATGTCATTTTACAGGAGAGCGATGCTTAACCATCTGCCACTGTGTTCACAGCTTTAGTCTACTTGGTTCAAAGTTTTAGCACATGACAAACAGTGTGTGATAACGTCTGGCAGTGATGCTGGAGGTACGTCGAAGCTACAGTTTTGCATCTACTTCTAACTGTGACTCCGGGGTTCGTTTTGCAATTTCAAATCAATAAGAAGTCGCAGTTTTGTATAATCAACATGATAAAAATCATACACATAGTTTGTCATGTACTCTAGACAAAACCTTTCAAACATGATCTTAAATGGATAGTTCACTCAAAAATAGGGATGCACGACTTGTGAGGAAAAAAATTTTTTTTTTTTTTTTTATATATATAAAAAAAGCTCCAGGTTTGTCGGGTGGCATAATTTGGCCCAAAAGTTTGATAATTATTATTATTATTAAATAAAATAATTTAAATAACTCTTAAAATTTTAATATTTCATTGCAAAATATTTATTTATTTTATGCAAATATTTAAATTATATTTAAGAACTTTTTTCTTCTTCTTACAATGTTAAAACATCAAGCTTTTATTTTGGCAGAAAACCACAGGGAGCCATTAAAGCTTCTCTTTTGTTGACAACAGTCTGTTTATAAGGGCATCCCATTACAAATTCATGACAATGGTTCCCAAATGTATGTCATAAGCGACCCAAAGTACAGCACAAGCAGAGATTTAAAGTGCCCCTATTATGGATTTTTGAAAATTACCTTTCATTCAGTGTGTAACACAGCTCTAAGTGAATGAAAACATCCTGCAAAGTTTTAAATCTGAAAGTGCACCGTGTATAAAGTTATTGTCTCTCAAAAAAAAAGAGTCGACTCTGAATCATTGAAACTAGTCGTTTTTAAAACAAATCCCAAGCCGTTTCATGTTGACGTCAACATAAAACATTAGCATATTGCCCGCCCACTTGTTGCGCGCGCAGACCCGGGAAAATTTGACCATCAGTCGATTTTCGCATAGGTCTGAATGAAAATGCTAATTCATTCTTTGCCACTAGGTGCCGCTTTTGGAGCGGTAAAAATAGCTGTTTCCCCGGTAACGCTGTACACAAAGCAGCACTGCGCTCACAAACACTGCTTTATCAGGCATTACAGGCATGATGAAATGAAAATGAGACCAATCGGACCAATCACCACAGATTAGCATCACGCAAAAGAGGGGTTTGGAAAAATGAATAGTTGAGCAAAACGTTTGGGAGTCGTTGAGCAAATAAGGTAAAAAAAAAAAAGCATATTATAAGACATTGAAAGTTGTTTTTGACTTTGCATGCATGTCATCTGTTGTTGGGGACTCCCAAAACCAAAATATGAACCTTTCATTACCCATAATAGGGGCACTTTAAAGGGGTCATATGATGCGATTTCAATTTTTCCTTTCTCTTTGGAGTGTTACAATCTCTTGGTGCATTAAGAAGATCTGTAAAGTTGCAAAGACTAAAGTCTCAAATCCAAAGAGATATTCTTTATAAAAGTTAAGAGTTAACCACGCCTACCTAAAACGCCTCGTTCTAACACGCCCCCACATATCTACATCACGATGTGGGAAGATTTGCATAACACCGCCCAAATGTTCACGCAAAGAAAGAAGACCTAACTTTATTCTCGCTGTAGTTTTGTTGTTGCCGCTGCCGCCATGTCGTGAAGACACTGTGTGCTTCGTTGTGAAAGCGAAACTACTTTGTTTGGCCTTCCAAAAGAGGACAATATCAGCTTTGTCATGCTTAGAGCTGATCCGTGCTGGTCGCTGAGGAAATACATAAACTTTGCGGTGTGGATCGCCGGACGCGTTTCAGAAAGGCGGGGCATAGAGGAGAAACAATAATGTACAGTATGTGAAAAATAATGTGTTTTTTGAACCTTAAACCGCATAAACACATTTCATTACACCAAATACACAAAATAATGTTCTTTTTAGCAACATCATATGACCCCTTTAATGCAAATCGAGCCGCTCTGAGATACTGAAAACACTGGATCATGAGTTGCTCCAGTGTAAATGAACACAGTGCTGTGCTTCACTCTGAAACTCTATTTATTAAATTAAATTGCAGCCTTATTGGTTTTATTTTGATTAATCATGCTGCCTTACTCAAAAATGAAAATTCTGTCATAATTTACTCACCCTCATGTCGTTTCAAACCTGTATGCCATGGGTTTTCAATAAATGAAAATTAAGTAAATGATGACAGAACATTTTCTGAACTATCCCTTTAAGGTTAATAACAGAATTTTGTGTCGTTAAATTTGATTTTAAATTCTTCAACTAACTACGTTCACTGGGGATGTCCAATGGAAGTCAACACTCAATGCTCAAACATTGCTCTCTACTTCTCAAACGAGCCCACCAATGGATCAATGGATGGGTGTGGCCTTTTCCGGAGTCTCTTGGCCTCATTCTGAAGCTTCTGTCGTATGTAGCCCTTTATTTCTGAATCAGTCTTTCCAGGGAAGAACCGCTGCACTGTCCCTGTGGAGAATGTTTCACTGGTAATCAAAACTGCAAACTTGAGACCACAATTAATCACAAACTTCACAATGGCCTGATTGCAGTTAATGAAATGGAACTGAATGCATACTAAACTAAAACTAACTAAAAGACACCCACCGTGCAGTACTTGTTACAAACAGTCCCTTATACATACTCAGAATGGCCTGGATCTCATGTGCTGGAAGAGCTGGCTTAGGCATCCCTCGCTTGCTGTTGACGATGCCTGAGATTGAGTGAGAGGCCAGACAGTCTCTGTCGTAGAGGCTGCGCAGCAGGTCATTGGTGAGTTTCTGAGCGGTGGTCCCTGTGTTGCAGTGCTCCAGGAGATCAGCAGTGATAACCTGGAGGAAGAAACAAAAAAGATGTTGTGGATAAGCTAAGAAAATGTATTCAACAACCAATGAATGACACATTTTTAAAACTGATAATAAAACTGAATAATCAACGATAAATGTTATTATTGATTAGTCAGATCTTTCGTACGGTTCAAAATGCACTACTACGACCTAAAAATACATTTAATTTCATTTTACTGCTCTTTTAATGCAAGCATTTGCAAAACAATGCACTCTTACAGAAAGCAATTTAATGTTGCTGTCATTGTTAAACTTTAAATATTTAATAGAGATTGTGCAGGCAAGTCATTCAAATATTAGCTAAACAACAAATTGTAGTTTTAAATGAGCCACAACTGAACTTGAAATCATAAATGCAGGTAATTATATTTTTACAGAAACGAACAGTAATTTTAAATCATGCATAATTCATATATATCCAAATAACGGTACATACATTGGTTTGATCATTTTAATAATTTTGGTTGTTTGCTGCTTTCAAGTGACAATGACAAATTACAATTTTTTAACAAGCAGATTAATCAATTACTAAAATAGTCGTTAATTGCAGCACCAGAAAAGCAAAAAACATTTTGAATACAGGAACTTTTGTCTAATATGTTGTGTTCATTTATTTAATCTAAAAAATATTTTAAACTATTATTTTTTATAACCATTCCATATTGTATTCTTTATTGTAAAATATTTTGGGAGCCAGTGTAAACATCACTTTACTTTTCACATTGTTCGAGTGAGAGCATTGAACATTATGTCTGATTAATCAAAGCAATAACCAGCAGATTAATCGACTATTAAAATAAGTGCAGCCCAACGATGAAACAGTAGCAAAAAACAGCAACTGTGGCTAAAGAAAATACAACTTTTTATTTCAAAACAATTAAACACATGAAATTCTATGAAGAACTTTTATCAAAATGTACATTAAATTTCACCAAAATGAGAAAGCTGATTACAGAAGCATCTAAAATGTAACTCTTACTTTTTGTTCGGGAAGCGTTCCATTCATTTGAGGCATTGTTTGTGTGACCTCATACTGACCACACCCCTGCTGCTCTGAACTTGCACATTCAGCTGCTCTTCCACTAAGCACCCTTGGAGGAGAAATGTGACTGGGTGGCCTGCTTCTCTCAAGCTCCCTTGGAATGCTGGGAGTTGCAGCTTCATGGCTGCCGCACAGCCATCTATCACTCTTCTCGATCAGCTCTTCAAGTGTCTGAGCCAACTTCCCACAAGCTGTAAAAAAAAGTATGAATTTAGACTGAAATTGTCTCACAACAAGAGGTAACCTGTTGTGTAACATGGCACACCACAGTAACACTAAATCTTTCTTTGACGCGAAGTTTCCTCGTGAACTTGCTGAACTTTTCCTCAAATTGAAATGATCTTGAAACATGAAATGATCTGTGAACGAGTGTGTTTTCAGTGAGTTTTCAGCTCGGTGTAAATCTTCCCCTGCCAATGGAAATGCATTGCTGTAAAATAAAAAACCAAAACCTGAAAGGACACATTTCAGAAGTCCACTGCTTTACCTGTAAGGCTTCTGATTTGTTCTCGGAGGCCGTCCATCTCCCTCTGCATGCTCACCACCATGGTGATAAGCTCCGCCCTTGAACGTGATTGGAGGCTTCCGAGCACCTGGAAGAAGATTATCCACGTCACATTATAAACTGAGTGGACACATTGGTTCAAACTTGTATCAGTAATTTACCAAAAATGCCCATGATCATTTTAAGCATGGAAAACAAGTGTTTGGAGCTGAATGAGTTTAAGTGCAATCACTTTTTGGCTCTAAATTCTCAAAAGGCATTGCACAGTAGATGTTTAGAAGCTTAATTTAATTTATGCAGTAAGTTAAATGTTAGATTATTAATAAAGTAGCCCAAAAGTGGAATTTAGTGCCATATTACCTCCATAGTAAAATTTGCATCCCTTGTTGCATCTCCAAGGGGCTTGTCAACCTCAAAAGCCTGTTCGAGAGCAAGCAAACTACATATGAAAGAAAATACAACAAACCAGTGGTTCTGGTTTGGTTTGCAACTTCAAAATGACATTGGCTAGCAATGTAAAAAATGATCGTTTTGAGGTTCCTCACATTGGCAGAAACCTGAAGATGCATCAAATATCCTGTTACATTATTAGATAGTTCAATATATAATTTAAGTGCCTGGAATCCTTTCCGTCATGATGGGATTCCTGAAGAAACTGAAGGCAGTCTTTTAAGTTCTTGCAGGAACTCTTGGGGCTTCATCATGTAAGCTCCCCGGAGAACTGATTTCCCTTTTTGAAATGGGTCCTAAAGGTTCTCGAGAGGGTTTTGCCGGTGTGATAATGCCTCCAGTGTCTTCATTTTTACAGTAGCCTATGTGATCCTATTAACCCTCATTAAACTAGGCTACAGATACAGCAGGTCTGAAATAAATCATTTAAAGCTCCTTAATCACATGGAAGATACAATTTATCTGTCGTATATTTTCATTATTTTAATTCATTTTATTATTCAAATCTTAAAAGCTATAAATGTTAAGAATTGTCATTGGAACAGATGTTTTAATCTATTCAGCAATGCTTATCAGCTAAAAACAAAACTGATTACAATATTGATTCAGCAATAAAAAGGAACAGACCTTTGTTTTGAACTTAACATAGTCAGCGTTGCAAGATGAGATGTCCTCTCCATTTAGTTCTCTCCATTTTCTCCTCTTCGCCGGCTCTTGCTGAAAGACAGTCACATAATTAAATCAAGGCACTGCAAAACAATGACACATATGCAACAAAAGCTTGATGTTTACATACAATGAAGACGTGGTTCGCCCTCGCGCCGGTTTCTTCGGGTGTCTCTTCGTGTGCCTCGTATCCACTGTACAGGATGCGCTTTGCTATTGTTTTTCTCCTCATCTTTCGCCCATTAGCCGTTTTCCTCGCCGAAAAACCGTCCGGTTCTTTATCATGCCGGTCATGGCCACGCGCAGATCCGTGACAGCCTGATGACTTTCACGCTCGTGGCATTTCGATTAAAGTTAAAGACACTCTGGCGTGTCAGCATCACGAGTGCGTCTTGAAACGCTTGAAAACGAGTAAAATGTGTGGAAAAGGGACCCTAAAAGTTTTAACAGTGGTGACCTATAACAATTTGAAGAAAAAATACATCATAAACGGTTCATAATCTCTCATAAAGACATGCTATGTAGGCTATTAGCTAGCATAACATTATGTCATTTTAATAATGTAAACATCGCATCTGATGTTTATTCTGTACATGAAAGTGAGATTAATTATAGACTAGAAATAGCTAGCCATTTGTAAGGATCCCTCTCGCTATTATTTTGTATTTTTTACTATTCTATTTAGCAGCCTTGGTTTACTGGCACATCCCACTAAATAAAGCACACTGCAGCCTCCCCTTACCTTTTTTAAAACATTAGAGATATAAATCCCATATTTTTTTGTGTTAACATATGTTCGATAAACTATTATCTAACATAACATTAACCTGGCATTAAATGTATCTAGCTTTAAAAACATAAAATGTCTTATTCCCTCTGGAAATATGGATTTTGGCCTACTTGACTGTATCTAATATGTTAAAATCATCATAATCATAACTGTCATAGACATCATCATTAAATAAAATCAAAACTGTCATAATCTAATTAAATATACGGAATTAGTTGTAGTACAACACTTTTTAATTATAAACAAATTATACAACATTACAAAAAATAATTAAAATTGTGACACAAAGTAAGATCTTGTGGACACTTTCGGAGGGTAGGTAAATATTTTATTTTCTGAATTTTTACACATGTTGGAGAGTTTACTGCATTAGTCAAGCTCAACCGTGGTAACCAAATTATTGTAAGAAAAATTATAAAGCAAATGCATTTTAAACATTTATGGGAATTGTTATTATACAATAGAGTTTTAAAAAAATCTTAATTACAAGCCCTATACATGAAGACATTTTTTTTCCTCAAAAAAATATACTGTCTAAAATAAAACCAAAACAATGATATAAAAATCTGAAGCTTTAGACATTATACTGTGGGAGACTTTATAGGGCACATTATACAAGAGACTTTATAGGGCACTTTCTTTTTCTTTCCCACTTGTTCTTTCTTTTTTTGGCTGTGTGAGCACAGATACCAGTGAGAGGTCAGGCAAGGTTTGACCCCATGCATTCCCAGGTGACTACAGTGAGCACTAAGTGTATCCAGAAGCACCTGAGGTTGTAAAAGAGAGGCCTCTGCAGGGATGGGAGGAGGCAAGCGGCTCTGTGCTGGAACAAAGTGGATCCTGTAACTCATTAAAGCAGGCTAGGGATCACAAAAGTTCAATCAAATAGTGTTATGTGCACCAGTACCGTCTCTCTTCCGGTTATATGCACTGTGAATACGGGTCACTTTAAATGACAGCTTGTTTGGCTCGATCACAAGTCCTCAGACAAGACACATCATGTCTCACCTGCTAGTAAAATGCTTCTCAGATTAGTTTAATTCTCAGTTATTCTCAGTTTACCTGTATTAAATAAGGTTAAGGTTAAGTTTAATTTCTTTTAAAACCTTTAGTGTAGTAGTGGATGATGACTGACAGGTGAGTAGGCGGTGCTTCACTGCTGTCTAGGTGCATTAAATAGTGCTAATATTACAAATGTGGTTTAGTCACATGCAATTAAAATATGATTTATAGGTTCACAAAGTGTTTGGAGCCTCTTTACACCTATTCAGTGCTGTCCACCTGTGAATGGATTGATGAAATGGATCTCAATACCAATAATGTGATGTTTTGACGACTAGCACACAAAGACTAACTGTAAGGAGACACAAATGGCACTGACTAGAATTACTTCGTTACGGACACTAAGAAAGATGCACTTACATGCTGGATGAAAGAGAACTGGCACCTTCTCTTATGATGGTAATTAGACAAGCATGAGAGCTACGATCCTGGTGGCCAGAGTTATTTCAGTTCAGATCGTTTGAGAACTTTGTTTTAACTTACGTGAACAAAATGATTCACTCAACCTGGTAGATCCACCGTGACACTTCTGATCTGCAGAGACCAAACATGAAGATCCGTGACTAAAGGATGTCTTACATCACAGCAGATGCTATTACAGTCCAGGCTACAAATGTGACAGCAGAGCCACCATTTCTCGCTCAGACAGAACGATTATTGATCTCCGCCCTGCATATTGCAGCCTCTTGAGAGGCTCTGAACCAGCATAAGGAGGAGTATTGATGATATATTGATATGCATTCTTTTATTTACTTTACCCATAAGGCCTTTCACCTCTCTCCTAACAAATCAATTGCACATTCAACATAAAGCTTCGTTTTTGGGTCACAGGCTGCCATTCCCCATTTAGACTGAGAGCAGCTTTGAAGTCTGTCTTGTGACTGTCAGACTTGCTTATGCATGAGAATTTGTACTAAAGGATCTGATCTGAAGTCCGTCTAAAATAAAATACTAGAACCAAATGACGCCATTCATGAAGCCAGTGAACAAAAAAAAAAACAATGTTCAAAAATATTTTGACAATGTTTCTTGCATCGTTATTAAAAGTGTCAACACTATTTAAACAGTTTTGCACCCTAACCAGTTAACATATCATGGTTGCATATGTCTCAAAGTTAATGAAATCAAAAATACAAAAAAATAGAAATAAAAGAAATATTAATAAATGATTTTTTATATAAATTAATCTCTTAATAAAGAACACTGTGGATTATAATTCCCCTTTTGACCAGAAAACAGAGCATGTAATAAATAAATAAAAATTGTGTTAAAAGATTTTTAAAATATTTTTATATTTTATATAATAGTAATATATCAATAAAAATCATAAGAATGTAATTTATAGAATATAGAAAAACCTATAAACTATTTATACATATTATAATTATTTTAAGACCTTTTATTTATTTTTTTTAATTATTTTAGTAATATCAATTATTGTGGAGGTACTTAAACAACAGTGCATGTAATAAATATTTTTTTTAAATCATATTTTATAGTAATACTAATAATATGTTATTTATAAATAGTAATATAATTTAAATAAGACCAATTATTGTGGAGGTGGAATATTCTCAATCACTAAAATAATTATCAATAAACTGAAATCGTTAAGTAGAATCAGGATCAGAACTAAAATCGTTAAGTTCCTTATGATTCCCAACCCTAGTGAAATTTGTGTCCTTTGAGCTCATGCATCAAGAACAGACAAGAACTGTCTTCCCTCCTGATCTCTCTTTCTCCATCTTTCCTTCTCTGTACATAATGAAAATAGAAGAGTAAGTAAGTGCCATAAAGAAAGAGGCCCTGCTTGGGCACTGAGTGGGATTTAATTGACCATATGGGGGCGTCAGATTTGAACTCTGACCTTACTCCCATCAACCCTTGGGAGCGCCCTAAAATGATATAATGATCAGAAAGGTGGGCCAGCCACCCAGGCAAAAAAGGATGATACAAATGAGCACACACTTACATTCTATAATAGCTGTATTAAATGGACCTCTTAACATTTGTCTGTAGACTTGCATGCAAGACTGCGTTGTTTCTCACACTCACCTATCGCTGATGGACAGCTCGTGTTTTGAGCCCGCTCAGCATCTGTCACTTGATTAGACTCCCCACCATGGCACTTCTTTCCTCCGTTGCCAATGTTCTCTCCCCCCTCCGCTCATGCATATAGAGAAGCTTAATTTAAAAGGACAACAGCGCTGCCTTAAGATCTTTTGCAAAGGGACAAAATAAACTGACACATGAGTACAAAACAATGCAGGCCATTCGGTGTCCAGGGCAGCACTGAATGTGGAGGAGTGCCGGACAGGGGTTTTGTGAGCCTTTGATGGGTAAAACCTGATTTTTGAGGGTTAGATCTCTCTTTTTTGAAGATGAGTAATTTTTGTACATTCGGATGTTTAAATATTTTCTTCTATTACAGTTTAGTGAGCAAAAAATATGAGTTTTGCGATTCTTTGTGGTGCAGAGATGATACACTTCACCTTTAAGAACCAAACATTCAAATCCAGCATTCACATCCAATGTCCATTTAAAAACGAATGCAAGGCAAACAGTATAGTTTCTTTATGTTTAATTTCATTATCCAAAATCAGATGTAGTACAAAATCATTTACCTATACTTTCACATCTTACCTTGATGGTCGAATGACCTAAAAACACACTTACACAAAACTCTTTGTGAACACTTAACTACTTACTCACCCATTTGGTTCCAAACCTGTATGACATCTTTTCTTTCTTTTGTGGAATATAAAAGAGGATATTTTGAAGAATGTTGGCAATGAAACAATTTCAGTCCCCATTGACTTTCATTGTATGGACAAAAAACAAACAATGAAAGTAAATGGGAATCAAAACCATTGGGTTACCAACATTCGTCAAAATATCCTCTTTTATATTTTGAAGAATGTGGGTAACCAAACAGTTTCGGCTCCCATTGACTTCCACTGTACGGACCAAAACAAAAAAAAACAAAAAAAACAATGGAAGTCAATGAGAACCAAAACAGTTTGGTTACCAACATTCCTTTAGAAGAAAGTCAGTCAAACAGGTTTGCAATGGCATGAGGGTGAGTAAATGATGACAGAATTTCATAATTTTTAGGGTGGACTATCCTTTTAAGCACATAAGCATCAACAAAATAATCTCTATAACTGTTCTTTAACTTTATATTCTCCTTTATTTAGTCTTAGAATGAATCACTTATGTTGTAGCATTCCTCTTTTGTATTTTTCTTTGTCTAAAAGCACCTGCTGCTAAATTAATGAATTTACAGTGAGTAAACTTTCCCACGTGTCAAATGCTGCTTCTCATTAACTACTTACATCTAACTCATTGCATTTGCTTCAAGAAACAAGACCTTTTAGACTTTATACTGCTCATAAATCCGCAGGCAGATCCTATGGCCTATGGTCGTCTGTTAACATGAATCTGAGAGTTTCAAGACGACATGAAGCTGTGCAACCTACAAACTTTCTCCCAGAACAGTTCTGTTCAGCGTCA